AACCAAAACAATGGCCGGGCATTGTGGTGGACACCTGTAGTCCCAGCTACGTGGGAGGCTGAGGCAGGAGACTCGCTTGAGCCCAGGAGTTGGAGGTTACTGTGAGCTGTGATGCCATGGCACTCTACCCAGGGGGATAGCTTGAGGCTCTGTCCAAAAAAAAAAAAGAAAAAACAACTGAGGCAAGAAGATCGCGTGAGCCCAAGAGCTTGAGGTTGCTGTGAGCTATGAGCACTCTACTCAGGGCACTAGAGTGAGCCTCTGCCTCAAAAATAAATAAATAAATAAAATAAAAATAAATTATTGGGGTGGCACCTGTGGCTCAAGGGGGTGGGGCGCTGGCCCCATATGCTGGAGGTGGTGGGTTCAAACCCAGCCCTGGCCAAAAACTGTAAAAACTGCAAAAAAATAAATAAATAAATTATTAAAATAAAGGTTGCCGCGGCACCCGTAGCACAGTGGTTATGGTGCCAGCCACATACACCAAAGCAGGCAGGTTCAAACCCAGCCCAGGCCAGCTATACAATAATGACAACTCCAACAACAACAACAAAATAGCCAGGTGTTGTGGCAGGCACCTGTAGTCTCAGCTGCTTGGGAGGCTGAGACAAGAGAGTCGTTTTAGCCCAAGAGTTGGAGGTTGCTGTTAGCTGTGATGCCACAACACTCTCTGAGGGCAACATAGTAAGACTCTGTCTCAAAGAAAAAAGAAAAGAAAAAGAAAATAGCTGGGCATTGTAGTGGGAGCCTATAGTCCCAGCTACTGGTGAGGCTGAGGCAAGAGAATCGCTTAAGCCCAGGAGTTTGACTTTGCTCTGAGCTGTGATGCCACAACACTCTACTGTGGGCGACATAGTAAGACTCTGTCTTAAAGAAAAAAGAAAAATAAAGGCTCGGCACCATTGCACAGTGGTTACAACTCCAGCCAAATACACTGAGGGTGCAGGTTTGAACCCAGCCTGGGCCAACTAAACAACGACAACTGCAACAGGAAAATAGCCGAGTGTTGCAGTGGGCACCTATAGCCTTTAGCTACTTGGGAGGCTAAGGCAAGAGAATTGCTTAAGCTCAAGCATTTGAGGTTGCTGTGAGTTGTGCCATAGCACTCTACCAAGGGCGACATAGAGACTATCTCAGAAGAAAAAAAAGAAAAAGAAAAAAATAACTTAAAACTTTTATTAAATTAATTTACAGGTTGTACTGATACCCATTTGAGTTCTATGAAAGGAAATGACAATCTTCCTTCTCTTAAGTACTAGGTAATCTGGGTTTTCCTTTTAGGATACTCTTACTTTCAGATGTGACTCATAAAGCCCTACATTATTGTGAGAGATTCCATCTTGCTTTAAAAATCTCTCAGTGCTGGGCGGCGCCTGTGGCTCAAAGGAGTATGGGTGCTGGCCCCATAGGCCAGAGGTTGCAGGTTCAAACCCAGCCCATCCAAAAAACTACAAAAAAGAAAAAAAAAAATCTCTCAGAGGCGAAATATCAATCTCAAGACTCATGATGTTAACATCTGGACTATATTTTCTGCTACCTATTCTAACCCACCAAGTTGCTAACCACATTGATAGAAATAGGACTTCAAATCTACCTGTTTGAGGTTCACCAGGTTTGATGCCCCAGGGAACTGTCAATAAACCAGTGGGATACAACAAAGTTGCTGAAAAGAGAACCACATTTTATCATCTTCCTTGAATTTCAGATGTTGCCCTGAAATCACTTAATATTTAGCCAGCCTCAGGTGAAGTTAGTACAACATGTAAACCATTCTCTATAACTCTCAGTTTACCCAGCTGTACGAACAGGCATCTCTCTCTCCACCTGCCACACTTCATGCGAGCTCACTAATCAATTGAATTTCCACTCAGGGCTCTAACAAAAAACAATCAACTTCCCTCTGGGCCTCTCCCTTAATATATTACATTAATTACTATAGCAAAGAAACTGTGTCATCTCAAATACCATAGCTCTCAGCTTATACCTGCAATTGAGATTAGATAAGGAACAGACCAACAGTGCCAACTTGAGAAGACAGAGCCAATTGAACAGGACCCATCTGACCATGTGTCACCTAAGGACACAAGAGTAAAACTGTAGCATCTCTCAGTCCCTGAGTATATGTTACAGTTCATGAATAGTTTTATGGTCCTCATAGGCTGCTATTCTCAAACAAAGATTATGAGACTTGATCTGTTTCATTTCACATAAGCAACTGACACTTCTACGAGGACACAGCAGTTCAATAGGGCTCAGATTTGGATCCTTGGTGTTGGCTTTTTCTGTGCCCAGCATACACCCTAAAACAAGCTAAATAGCATACAGAATATGTATTTAATTCAGTTCCAATGCTATATATAGGGATTCATCTGGTGAAATCAATCCACACGGAAAACCCTTGCCATGGCCTGTGTATAAGTAGGCCAAAAAGCAAAGATTATCTAAAGTAAACAATAAAAAAAGCTGTCAATCCTCCACCCCTTGTAATTGGAGGGCTATAAAGTCTTCTATAATTTAGTTCTTATCCCCAAAGCTAAACTTTATGAGCCAAAGAGAAAGGGATGTCTAATTCTTAGGAAAGGGCGACGCCTATGGTTCAAGGAGGAGGGCGCTGGCCCCATATACCAGGAGTGGCGGGTTCAAGCCCGGTCCTGGCCAAAACAACAACAAAAAAGAAAGAGTTAAAAAATAAAACTTAAAAAAAATTCTTAGGAAAAAACTAAATAGTGGAGATAGCTAGACATCAAGAGATCTGAGAAACCAGCACTCCACACAGAACTGCTGTGTCAAAGTATTAACTTTCCTTTATTTCAATTTATCTGTAAAACATGGGCAAATTTATAGCTTGATGGAAAGGGGGAAAAGAGCATTTTTCCAAAAGCACAAAGAATTACCTTCTTTTTTTTTTTTCTTTGCAGTTTTTGGCCGGGGCCAGGTTTGAACCTGCCACCTCCGGTATATGGGGCTGGTGCCCTACTTCTTTGAGCCACAGGCACTGCTCACCTTCACTTTTTTTTTTTTTGAGATGGGGGTCTCACTGTCTCACTCCAGGTTGGAATGTAATGGTGTGATCCTAACTTATTGTAACCTCAAATTCCCACCCCAGCCTCC